AGGGCTGCAGCAGCCTGTCTTCCCAGCAGGAACTTCGGACCAGGGCATCACTGAGGATCAACACTATGGTCCATCGCTTGGCTTACCTTTGCTGGTACCCTGTATGAGACTCAGCAAACAGTTCATCACAGAGCAAGGTGGGACGTCCCAACCTGACCACCGAGGGGCACATTCTGAGATCCTCTGGGGCTCCCAATCTTTGAGACCAGAGGTAAAAAGCCACAGATCTTCTAAGAAAGCAACCAAGTGAGAAAATGTCCAGGCTCTGTTTATAAATGTTACCAGGCACTGGAGTCAGGACCCTCCCCACACAGTGGATCTCTAATGTTAACTGAGTCCCTAGTATGTGCCTACCCCCATGTCATACATATTCTCCCTAATGGAAACTTGACATGAAATATACCCACTGTAATCCTCACATCCACCCTCTAGTGGGGGCTGTTCTTATCCTGATCAGTGGGAAGAGGGAACCTAGAGGACTCAACGTGGCAGGTGAGTGGCAGGTGCAGGATTCAAACCCAAAGGCCATGTGTTCCTTTTCGTTTGTTTTCACTACACCATGCTTCAGGAAGGAGAGGGATGGGACAGGAGGAACAAGAGCAGGAGTCTAAATAAAAGAGATTTGCAGCTCTCAGCAGTATGGAAAGCAAATCCCTTGTCTTCATTTTACCCCCGCTGGCTCAATTATTTGCCTCAGGTAGAAGGTCAAGTTCATTTTGGGGAAAGGAAATCATCCTCAGTGTTCTTCTTTGGCAGTGGCTTCCCAAGCAGAGGGAGTGGCTTGGGTTTTTTGTGTTGTTTTGTTTTTAGCATAAACGTACTATAATCAAGGTAGAGAAAGTCCAGAAAGGAGAACATCACCTATCCCTGCCTCTCTGGCAGCCAGAGAAGATGGATTGTCGTCGCAGTCTTGCTGTATCAGTTTGTAGCTGCCATAACTGTAACAAATTACTACAAACTGTCCTTGAAACAACATAAATTTGTTCTGTCACAGTTCTGGAGGGTAGGTTCTAAACCAGGGTGTCAGCAGGGCTGTGCTCCCTCCGAAGGCTCTAGGAAAGAGTTTTTTCTTGCCTCTTCCTTCTAGTGGTTGCCAGCAATCCTTGGCTTGTCGATTCATCACTCCCATCTCCGCCTCTGTCTTCACATCGCCTTCTTCCCTGTGTCTCTCTGTGTCTTCTCCTCTTCTTATGAGGATACCAGTCATTGGATCTAAGGCTTCCCCTATCCAATAAGATCTCATATTGATCCTTAACTAATTATATCGGCAAAGACCCTATTTCCAAATAAGATCACATTCACCTCAACGGCACTGAGTTTGGTTTGGTTTGGTTTTCTGAGTTTCCAGGTGGACGTGAATTTAGGGGGATACTGTTCAACTCACTACACTTACTTCTGTGTATGATGCAACTGATTTTCTTTGGCCATCCCTTTATTGATTATGTGTAATGACGTTAATAGTTTTATAACCAACCACTTGCCAGGAGCCAGGCACCAACCCAAGCATTTTGCGTGCATCAGTTCCTTGCATCAACCCAAGAAAGTGGGCATTATTATCACCCCCAGTTTGCAGATGAGGAAACAGAATCTCATAGGGCTGCCCAGGGTCACCCAGCTAGTCAGGGGCAAGGCAGGACTTAACACCCATTCTGGCTGGCTCCACAGCCTATGTTCTTGGCTACGGAGCAGTGCAATGCAGCACAGAACTTCACAGTTTATATAATGCTTTTCACACAGCATCTCTGGTGACTCCCACTACATCTGGAGTCATATATTGTTACTCTATTCTCACAGATGTAGAAACTGAGACTCGGAGACAGTGTGCTTTCCTGTGAGTCTTATACCCAGGAAGCTTGGCAGTGTCATGGCAAACTGTGCCATTCTGTACCTGCCACCTCCCTCAGGCCTTTCTGTCACCTTCTAGAGACATTATGTGTGCATGTGGTAAAATATACATATTTAAATACATGTGTATGTGTGTATATATCTACATGTATGACACAAAATTTGCCAGTTTAACCTTTTAAATGTACAATTCAGTAGCATTAATTACATTCACAATGTTGTGCAACCATCACCACAATCTATTTCCAAAACATTTTCATCACTCTAAACAGAAACTCAATACCCTTTAAGCAAGCCTGTGTGACAGAGTAGAACTACCCTATAGGGTTTCCTAGGCTATAATCTTTATGGGAGCAGGTTGCCAGGTCTTTTATCCTACAGAACTGCTGGTGGGTTTGAACTATGGACCTTTCGGTTAGCAGCCAACCGCTTAACAGTTGCACCACCAGAGATGCTTAAAGAACTGCCTATATGGGATCAAATTGACAACAGCAACTGGAAAGATTAGACAGGAAACTTAGGGGCAGCAAGTTTATGTTAACAAGGGGAACAATTTAGGAAAGGCAGGTGAAATGGTTGCACAACTTGAAGAATGTAATCAGTGTCATTGAATTGTACACGCAGAGATTGTTGAATTGGTGTGTGTTCTGCCATGTATATTCTCAATATCAAATAATTTTAAAAAATGAAAAAAAGCTCACGCATGTCATAGCCTATCAGGACCTCATTCCTTTGTATGGCTGATTGTTGACAATCCCTGAGTTGTTGTGGAGCTGTGAAAGGGTCCCACAGAGGGGCAGGAGCAACCATAGGGTTGTCCTTGAGCCAACATAGCACCAACACGGGGAGGGGAAGGGGGAGGCCTTTGGCTCCTACAGCCAGAGCAGCACAGACATGAGTCTGGAACCTGAAGCCCCAGAACAGCAACTCCATGCATTTATCCATTATGTGTTTCTACTCCTGCCATGTGCCACATCACGGGCTCTGGGAACATCACACTCAGCAAAACAGCCTGTGGGGGAGACATACGTTACATAGGAATACCACCATAATCGAGATCACAGCCTGTTATGAGAGCTTATGGGAAAAAGAAAAAAAAAAAAGCATAATGTGTGTCATCTAGGCAGAGGGGTTAGCAAGGCCTCCCATGGAGGAGGAATATCAAGAACAAGTAAGAGTGTACCAGGAGAACCTGGCGAAGGTACTTAAAGGTTTTAAGCAACAGTGGGAGGAGATTTGTGTTTGGAAGAGGTCATTCAGGCCAAAGGCAGAAATGGATGAGGGCCAGATTAGCCACGTACCCCCATGCTCCCATAGTCCCCTGTTCCTTCTCCCAGGCTAAACAGTAACTAGTTGCCATCAAGTCAACCCTGATATCTGGCAGCCCCATGTGTGTCAAAGTATAACTGTACCTACAGAATTTTCAATGGCTGATTTGCAGAAATAGGTCACCAGACGTTTCTTCTGAGGTACCTCTGGGTGGACTTGTACCACCAACCTTCTGGTTAACAGCAGGCATATTAACACTTGCACCCCCAAAGACTCCTCTCCCATGACAGAGTTGCTGTGTGATGTTTACAGGGCTCTCCCTGCCTGGACTGAGAGCTCTTGTATCTAGATTGCTTAGTTTCCTCGGTTTTAAAATGAGGCAAATCATATACCTATTCTATTGGCTGTGGAGAGGACTGAATGATAGAGTCTAACAGATGTGCAGGCACTTAGTATGGGAGTATGTGATTACTCAGCATTACCGCCAATGATAATTATCTGTATCCTCACAGCCTGGGATAGTCCCGGAACCTAGGTAATGTATTTGGAATGAATGAATGAACAAGCCAAAAGAATGAGTGAATGAGGTGACCTATTGAACCTCTCTGGTACCAGAATTACTGCAGGGTGAGAGAAAATAAAACTTCACATAAATAGTAGTTGAAATGCTGATTTCTTAAAGCTATCCATTGAAGAGACATACATATTAATCTCCCCACTTCACAGATAAGCAAAGTAAAGCTCAAGGTGAGATGGTGATGTGCCCAAGGTCACTAGCTATGATGAATGCAGGAGTATGTGCTCCATAGGCTCTGCTAACAGCTGCCACTCATTGGCAGGGGGTGAGCCTCTTGTCTTTCCTGTAAGAGTGAGTGTTCCCCTGTCACTGCCTTCCCAGAAAGATGAGTTGGAGCATCTTCTGATGCAGTCAGGAGAGATTCCATCCCCCGTGTTCTCTGCAGGCACCTTCAGCGCCCCATGGGCTGCCCTGGCCCACAGCCGGGAGCAGTACTGCCTGGCCTGGGAGGCCAAGTACCTGATGGAGCTCGGCAATGCCCTGGAGACCATCCTCAGTGGCCTGGCCAACATGGTAGCCCAGGAGGCCTTGAAGTACACAGTGTTGTCTGGTAAGTCTCCCCACTTCCCCACAAGAGCATGCCACTGCTCCCACGCCACCTGGTTCCATACCTGTGCATGCCTGAGGCCCCAGTGAACCAGGCATTGTGATGGACCCATAGGGAAAGAGGTTCAGGCTGTGTTTTTATATGTGACAACTTCCTGTTCTTGAGGGGAGGAGACAGATAAATAACCAACAACATTATTACATAATGTATCAGTTGTTGTTGTCGTTATTGTTATGTGCTGTTGAGTCAGATCAGTTAGCTATTGCTAAATAACAAGCCACCCCAAAACTCAGTGGCTCAAAATGACAAACACTTATTATAGTGTACAAATCATGAGACTGGAATTCGCTGAACTTAGCTGGGCCTGCTCATGTGTCTTTGGGTCAGCTGGCTGTCCACTGACCTAGGTTAACTTTGTCTAAAGGGACCCAACTCCACTTTCATCCTCTCCTGGGTCAGCTTGCTAGCACATACCGACAGCAGAAGTATAAGAAAGGCAAATCCATTTCAAGCCTCACACTTACCAATATCTCATAAGCCAAAGCAAGTCACATGGCTGAGTCTAGAGTGGATGGATGGACTGGTCAGTCCATCATGGTAGGAGGGCACTCCAGAATTATAAGGCAAAGTGCGAGGACACAGGGTGGGGTGATGAATTTGAGCCATCTTTGGAGTATCACACATGACAAATGCTTTAGCAGAAGAAGTTTAGACCTTGCATCAGAAATGCAGGTGCTCATAGTCGCAGGGGACATCAAGCTCAATTGGCATAACATACTATACAAAACATTGTTCCACCTCCTACTTTGGCAAGTAGTAACTGGGATCTT